ACAGTGACCAGAAAGTGAACTGAGCACTGAAGGGAGGAAAATCAGTCCAGAATGACAAAGAAAACCCAACAAACATGCACAGTGAAAGCAAGGGAAGACACCCATGCATAGTAGGCCTTAATGACTGCTCTTCTAGCTACTATTTTTAGAAGGTTATGGCAAAAAATGATTAGGGGTTTTGGGGCACTTTTATGGGGAAAGGAAGGCTAATTGTGTTGTCAAGTTGCAACCAACTCTTGGTGACCCCAGGCCCATGGGTTTTTCCAGGCAAGAGATAAGCAGAGGTGGTTATCCAGGGCCAACCTTGCTTGGTGTCCAAGCTCTCCCATGGTTGGACTAGGCTAGGCTGTTAAAGGCAGAATGGAAATACTTTAAATAAATAAAAACATTTGACCATGATTTATTAAAGCTGCCTGCCCTACATTTTGCCACATAATCTGAGCACTACTTGTAATGGATGGTGCACTAAATGGGAATTCCTATTGATTAAACATTTTGTTCTCAATAAACATTAGATAACTGTTCCCACAATATACAACTACGAACAAAAGGAGAACTATGTAAGAAATAATTCACCATGTGCAAAGGGCAGCAGAGAGCTAGAAAGTGATAGAGAACTTTCCCTTCTGTTTCCTATAAACAGAACGTTGGGAATCTATTGGGATATTTGGTTAATATAGCAGAGTTTTGCCCAGTCACAGAATCATGATACTCAGTGCAGTAAATAAATCTCCCAAGAAGTATATCACAAAAAGTAAAAACTGACATTTATTCAAGTAGGTCCGGTTCACATTCAGGTTGCAATCAAAAGAAGAGCGAAGCGTCATCTAAAGAGTATTTTTCCTACAACAAATAGCCAGCTTTTCCAGCATCATGTGTGTGGGAGTAAGAAGTCATTGTGTCTACAGGAAAGACCTGCAGAGACATGTGTCTTCATGGAGAGCCATGGAGAGAGAGAGGACAAAGGGAGAGAGGAGGGATCAGAGGGCAGCTCCCAGGTTAAGACAAAGAGAGGCATACTATACACCCTTAGAGTGATGCAGCGCCTCCCCAATGTCCAGGCATGCTGACTCGCTCACTCCAACAGAATCGCCCCATGAAATGTTTCTTTATACATCACATAATTTAGTCATGGGACTAAATTAATCCACCATGTGCTACCTCAAGATACAATGTTTGTCACTTGCTTTAGGTGGCTTTAAAAGAGGATCAGACTAATTCACGGAGGAAGAGGAGGCAATATATCCTATCAGTGTCCTTTTTTCAGAGGCAACATACCTCTGAGTCCTAAATGCTATGGAGGAATGTTCCTTTCATGTCCTGTTTTGCAGGGTCATCTGGTTGGCCATTGTGGGGAACAGGGTGCTGAACTAGATTTATTTATTTATTTATATTTCAATTTCTATACCGCTCATGACCCCTAATGGGTCTCAGAGCGGTTTACAATGACTACTTGCGTAGTTGAAAGCCTAACTAGGGCCACAATTCTGTGGCGGGGGGGGGATTCCCTACCAGCACCCTTTTTTCGCGGCGTATCTAGATGGACCATTGGCCTGACCCAGTAGAACTCTTCATACATTGTTATTAAACTAAACAACTAAAATGATCCACATAAACACATAAAACACTGGTCTGGAGGGAAGAACCTATTTTTCCTGGCAGCTTCTTGCCTCCGCTGAAGCTGTATTCATGGCTGGAGTTGGAATTTATAGTCCTCCATTTGTGAAAGTTTATTAGTGTTATTTAGTCCTTCTATTTGCATGGCACCTTAACCTGGATAGTCCAGGCTAGCCCGATCTTGTCAGCTAAGCAGGGTCAGCCCCAGTCAGTATTTAGATGGGAGACCGCCACCCACCAAGGAAATGTGGGGTCACTACGCAGAGGCAGGCAACGGCACACCACCTCTGAACATCTCTTACTATGAAAACCTCATGGGGCCGCCATAAGTCAGCTGTGACTTAATGGCAAAGGGAAAAAAGCATGGCAAACAAGCAAACATCATAAGCAACTGGGGGTTCCCCTTAGCTGGTATATTGGTAAGACGAAAATCCAGCAAGTTAAGAGTTATAAATACTTGGGTGTCACATTCAATTTTAATCTCCAATGGGCAACTCACAGAAGAAGGTCTATTAGTTTGGGGAAACTATCTTTCAACCAATTAAAATCTTTCTTTTTCTCCAAAGGAAACCAATTTGTGCCTGCCGCCATTAAAGTTTTTAATACTAAAATTTTATCCCAAGTTCTCTATGGTGTTCCTATATGGTTCAGTGCTTTTAACTGTGAAGTTGAATCAATTCAATCATCTTTTTTAAGACAAATTATGGGTTTCCCAAACTGTGTTTCTTACCATGCATTGTGTTCTGAATTAGGACTTAATTTGATTGAAACCAAGACATGGGTGTTAACGGTCCGTTACTGGCTTAAATTGCATTTTAACATTGAAGATGGTTCGCTTTTGTCCTCTTGGGACTATAATATTCGAACCAAAATAAGATCTATGGGCCTCTCCTTGGAGGAGCTAGCTTTTCCCTCTGAAGTGTATATCTTTAAAACAATCAAACAGAGGCTTTTAGATATTGAATTTCAAAAACTGCAGCCCTTTCATCCGCCGCCGGCCTTGCAGCTCCACTGTCGAGCCCCATGAGGGGCTCGGCGGTGGACCTGCAAGGCCGGCGGGAGTGCAAGGAAGTCCCGCGAAGGCCCTCCCTGGCCCCAGGCAGGCAGGGGTGGGGAGAGGCAGGGAGGAAGCAACTTACCCTCCCTCTTCTCCTGCCTCCTCCTGGTTGAATGAGGGCCGGAAGCGGGGTGGCCGGAAGCAGGGGGCGGGGCTTCGTCATGTGCCCCGCCCCCCGTACCTCACCCAGGGGAACTGCGATCCCCCGCGATCCCCCCCGAAATGACCTCTGGTCCTAGTTATCGAAGAGCTTTCTCCCTTGCACGAGTAAATGCCTTTCCATCAAAACTACTGTATGGTAGGTTTCAAAATATTCCTAAGCACGAATGGAGATGTGACTGCGGCTCTAACTCTCTTGATTCAATTGATCACATACTGTTAGACTGTTCGTTGCATGCATCTGCTAGGGGAAAATGGTTAAATACATGGTTGCATGGTAAACAGCACCTTCCCAATAAAATAAAATGTCAAATTCTATTGAATGATACAACAACAGAGATTACTGTGGCAGTGGCCAATTTTTTAGTTGATGTGATAAGAGTGAAAACTTGGGAAACTCCGTTTCATGATTTTATAATTATCTCAGACTTTTAGCTGATTGTGTCACTTACTGTCTCTGATTTAATGTTGTATATGCCATTAAAGGTCTATTGATTGATTGATTGATTCCCCAGTTATTCCAGTTGAAATCTCTTCTTCTTTCTCTTTCTTCTCTTCTTCCCAATTCCCCGCTATTATGTACTGAGATCGAGGCAACGTTTGAACAAGTGATTTCTTTATTCAGCTCATAACTCAGTGAACACAGACAACCAACACACAGAACAATCCAACTATATACAGTTTGAACTCATAAAACCACACACCCCTGGAACAATAACGTCCAATCAAAGATGAGTGCTTGGAACCAATAGGAATTGTTCCAGCCAAAAGTCAGAGTCTTTCCGGATTGGTCTGTTACGCAACAGCAACCAATCCGACTGCAGGGTTTAGGATACTTGGAAGTCAATGAAGCTTGTGCTTGAAGCTCCGGTTTAGGTTACAATGCATAACTCATAAGCAAATACATAACACCCGCTTTCCTGCAAACTTGCCATGGAATCTTCCTGTTCCTTGCATGCAGCTTACCATTTGCAATCCATTCAAACAGGACTTCATATCTGCCCACCACAGGACATAATGAACTTTAGCCTGATGCTCTGCTGCTAGGTTGCCGTACAGCCCTTGAAAATTGGAGAAGGGGAGAGATTTGGAATGTAATATCCTCCACCAAGTCCCAAACATATTCTCCTGTGTGGATATCCACATTCATGATATTCCCTCACTTGACCTTTACTGAATGATCCTAGCCAATCAGGGATCACACAGCTGAGATGATGTAGCAGTAAGAATGTGTGTCCCCCTTATCAGGTGATGCTCCCTGTCTTCTCATGCTGCTATGTATTGATTTCATACCATGCTGCCTTCGCATTGCAGAGCCAGAAGACAGGGAATGTTGCTTAGTTGTCTAGGAAATAATGGGACATGGTCTCTCTTCCATGCATCTATTAATCTTCACTGTTAGAAGGAAGACCTATCTGTGACCAGGGCCACATTATTAGGGAGTTGCTTTGGCTCTACCCTATCAGTAGCCATAATCAGTGATGGTTCTTAGGACATCCTGGAGTACATCCAAAGAAAGTTAATTTTTGATGCTGCTATGTGAATAATACACTCAGCTGCTTGCATTGGAGATCAGAAGGAGCCTCACCTCTACCCCCTTATTCCTGGCAGCTGCTGTCTTTTGCATTTTCCTTCACTTTATGACACCCTTTGCCCAAATTGCTGTAACACTTTAACCAAGAGATCAGCTTTGGGCCTTAAATATCATAACCACATAATGCCTCAACACCATTTGATTTGCCAGAGGGCAGTGAAAGAGGGGTTGAAATATGGCATCACTCTGACATGTACCTCTTTTTAGGGTATCTCTGCAAAGGGTGCCATATTGACAAAGGTTTCTCTCACTTGGATTTATTGCTTCACTCAGACAAAGGAATGAAAGGGATATTTATCCTGTGATCCAAGAAACCGTCCCTCGATGCATTGTCTTTGGGGGTCTTCCAAGATCCTTGGAACATTCCACTGACAAGGCCAGACTCTGGTTTTATGACAACTTTCAAGAGTCATCTTGGTGACAATCTCCTTGTTTGTCCAGTTATTTTGTTGCTGTTGTTGGCTTCTGGTTGTTGTAGGCAATTGGTGCTAGCCACAAACAGAAGCTACATAATTCCTTTTGAGACTTCTTGAACGGAGATATAATACTGACTGCACCGTGCAAATTGGCACCATGAGCTTTGCTGAGCTCTTGGAACGTGTTGGTGGCATGGGACGCTTCCAGATTGCCTTTGTGGTGCTCTTGGCCCTCCCTGTGTTCATGATGGCCAGCCACAATCTACTGCAGAACTTCACAGCAGCCACTCCTGAGCACCACTGCTTGGTTCACCATGATGCCATTCATGAGAATCAAAGCCTTACCTATGAGGATCTCATCAAAGTCTCCATCCCCATTGATAAAAAGCAACAGCGGGAGGAATGTCTCCGTTTTGTCAACCTCCAGTGGTGGCTCTTGAACCCTAACACCACCAACATGAACAGGACTGAGATGGAAACAGAGCTGTGCAGTGATGGATGGATGTACAACCGAAGCATCTTCCCCAACACCATTGTCACAGAGGTGAGACAACCTAATATTGCCTGGTTCTAGGCTGTTTTAATTGTATTTATTAATTTATTTGGGTCTTTTTGCCTTGCTTTTCTACTCAGTAGGGACCTAAAGCAGCTTACAACATTATTCTTCCCTCCTCCTTCATTCTCACAACAACAGCCCATTCTCACAACAACAGCCCTGTTAGGCTGAAACAAAATGACTGACTAGGTCACCAGCGAGCTTTTATAGCAGAATGGGGATTCAGACCTGGGTTTCCCAGATCCTAGTTTGTGTCAGGGTCCTTAAGTCAGGTTACGCAACACAGGACTTCATGAGAAGATAACTGTTTATTGGTAAATCCAGTACTAGAGACACGTGTACAGCTTGAGCCTCTAACTTATACTAGAATCAAACATCCCCCCGGTAAGCATGAGCCAATGGATACATCTCGCACGGGCGGGCAAAGCAAGCAGGCAAAGCAAAAGCCGTTAACTTTCCCAGCTGAGTAAAACTGCAGCTGGAGCATCTACAAGGTCAAGCATAAGATAGCAAACAGTTGGTGAGCCAGGGAGAGCTGAGACAGAAAACGGGAGGGCACCCCTCCACATTCCAGACCTATGACACGGCTACCTGACAGTTTGTCACTTGAACCACTGCACAAGGGGTCCCCAGTCTTGTTGAGCTTCTGGGGCCCTTTTAGAATTTTGAGAACAAGGAATGGCTGCTATAGGGTCCAGGGGCCAATTATGAAATGTTGGGAAATTGCAAGCATAGCATTCTTCTACTACAAACTCAGTTGTTTCAACTTTCTGGGTTTTCCTGCTCCAGTGAGGAGGAGGAAAGCCAGGATTGGCTTTGGGGAGAGATGCTTTAGGGAATAAGAAAAGGGGCACCAGGAAACCCATTGGTAGGTGCTACGTTGGGGATCACTATACCACACCATGCTGATTCTGAACATACAGGTTCGCTGTACCATTCATATCTAAAAATTATGACAGACTGTCTAGCATACGTTTACAGGACTCATTCTCTTGTACAAAAACTAAAGCTTCACCTACAAATTCTTTTTTAAAATATTCCTTTATTTATATTTAAACAGGAGGAACATCACAAACCATATGCAACCATTGCATCAAAGTTTACAAGGAATACCTAGAAAATTCCAGCCAAAGTTTTATAATAAAACAAAATCAAATAAATAAAAATCAAATCAATATAATGAAGTGACCTTACTTCATTTAGGTTTTAAAATTTATACTCCTTAGAAATCTGAGAATCGGCAGAGGTTCTGTCTAGGCAAACTACAGATATAATAAGTCATGATATGAAGAGTTTTCAGGAAGTAACCCCTGTAAAGTTGGAACTAAATTTCTTAAAAGTAGATTGACTACAATCAAAATTTGAATGTGTTAAACTGTCTGTAATTTTACCCATGATGAATTGCTCCCAAAGTTTCTAATCCCAATTGAATACTGAAGGGGGAACAGGATCTGTCCATTTAGCTCCAATAGGTAATAGGGCAGAAGCTAATAAAAGCATTATCAGTTCCTTTATGGCTTTTCTAACATTCAGATCAGGCCAATAATTTAAAAGTCCTGATTCTGGAGTATGTTTTTAACTATGTTTTTAATTCTGGATAATTTCCAAACAAAACCCATTTATAGAACAACAATTTCACCAGCAATGCCAGTATGAGTCTACCTGGCCACATTTTTTCTAACAATTTGATAAACTATTTGGATAAATATAAGACAGCTTCTTTCCTCACCTACACATTCAGTGGAATGAAGTGACAGAATTCTAAGAGGGCTGAATGGGCTGTACTACTTTAGCCTGCAGGTAGAGGTTAATATTTGCAATGCTTTCTCATTTGAAAACTACTGCAAATTAAAAAGTAGAAGAATGATTTAGGGTTGCCAAATGGATTTTGGCCGGGAGCGGGGGGCTCCTGGCCGGCGTCTAAATCGTGCACGCGCGCGCGCCGCGTGTGCGTCATCCGGAAGTGACGTCGCACGCTGGGGCGGGGCCACGCCATTTGAGGGGAAAACAAAGAGTTTTCCCCTCAAATGGCGTGGTCCCACCCCCAGCGTGCGACGTCACTTCCGGGTGGCGCGCACACGGGGGTGGGGTTTCCCCCGGGCCCCGATTCCACGGGAGCGGGAATCGGGCCTTGAAAGCGGGGGGAAATCCGCCCCCCGGGGGGATTTGGGAACCCTAGAATGATTAGCACATTAGGAGAAACTTTGCTAAGCCTGCATTCACTTGCCTTGCTAGTTTTCTTCGTATAGGGAATTATTAATACAATAAATTTGATAATAAATAAATAATCCTCACCAGCTGCCTGAAGTGGTACAGTCCATTCTACACCCCAGTACACTATGGCCAAGGGCCACTTTATGCTGTGTAGTTCCAAAGCCTGGTTTGCGCAGGCACCCAAATGCGGTCACAGAGTACTGACTGTACCACATCAGACTGCAGGAGTCAGATTAGATTTTTCAAAATTCCCTTACAGTAATAATTCCCCATAAATGGAAAACTAGTACTAAATGTGAAGCAGCTAGATTTAAAACCTTTCACCCAGATATGCTTTTTAAATTATTTACAAGGAGCTTTCTTACAAGCAGCATTAAAAATGTACCTTTTCCCCACTTGCAGTCAAAAGTGGTACAGCACATTCTGGCACTTCAGGATTCTTGCTGACTTGGGATTAAGGTCACTGCATCTGACAAATAAGGCTCAAGCCCTAGGAAGGTTGCACTAAAATAAATGTCTTAATCTTTAAACAGCCTCAGTACTCTGCTTTATGCCGCAACAGACTTCAACGGTCTACCATGCTAGACTTGACAGCCTTGCTGAGACCCTGGAGAGCTGACGCCAGCCAGGTCGTGAGCAACAGTAGTAGTCGACAGTTCATGCATTATTAGTAACAGAAGCTGAATTAAATATTGTTGATTTAGTTTACAAAAGCTAGCCTTTTTTAATTTTGGAGGCAAAATGCCGACTGTTTAAGTAATATGCACTGAACGCGTCTTTTCTTGATGCTAAGAGAATCCTAACCCTGGTTCCTCCAGGGTTATCAGTGTGACCTACTTCCAGGCAAGAATCCTGAAGATCATAGCCAAAATTTATTTTATTTATTTATTTTTATTTATTTTGACATTTTTACCCCGCCCTCCCCGCAAGCGGGCTCAGGGAGGCTTGTAAGCACATACATAAAACCACATAAAACCGTAAAATCATAAATAATAGCAATAACAATAACAATAATAAAGTGCTTCATGTAAACAAGATGGTCTTTGGATAGTTTCATGATGGTATCCGTCATTTCCTTAAATCTCATGATGGTGTCAATCATTTCCCTGGGGGTGATATTGTCCTATAGATAGTTCAAGCCGATCCAGCAATGTCAGTGCCATGCACATTTATGGCAAACTTCCAAGGGCAGCCCTTGATCCCGTTGTTATCCCCACCATTAACAGTGGTAGTGGTAGTGGTGGCGGCGGACCCTATATAAAAGCCTGGCGGAAGAGCTCCATCTGGACAGCCCGGGAGGACCGGGAGGCGATTTACAAGGGAGGAGGTAGTTTACAACAGAGGAGGCCGGTTTACACCTCGAAGGAGAACGTGGGACTGTGGAGCATGCCTAGGGGCAGATTCCTTAAAGATTGGTTAGTGCCCCTAGTGGGGAGTCGTGGAAGATCATGATCAAGCTTAAGAGCAGAAGAACTCT